ACACACACATCCGTCCCCCCCCCCCCCCACACCCTTTACACACAAATAGATAGTGTTTGTTGTCTCCTCTGCCAGTCCTGTCTTTGACTGTGTCTGCTCGACCGTGGCCCGAGCTTGGCCCCTCCTACGAGAAAAGGCATTAAAGAGCTTAGCGGGCTACAAAGGATGGGCGATAAACTAACGACGGTGGAAGGAATGGGAAAGGACAGACAGGCACTGGCGAGGAATATAAATTAGTCGAGTTCTGAGAGAAGGAAGTGTATTTGCGCTGTTTATTTCTCTCTCATTTGAGTTGCCTCCGAGTTTATTTTCAATCTCCAGAGTGTGATTAAAAATCGCCAATTGGCTTCAAACTCAGAGCTGTGATGATCTCCCTCTCATAAACAGTTGCTATGTTCTTTGTGGATTCTGCCCATTAGCTCAGTGAAACACAGAAGCCATGATGGATCATAACATTCCCCTTCTGTAATAGAGTTTGGGGAGACTGATGTTGCTGTAGCAGGTAAACATCCACACATCCTTTCCTGGTGGCAGTCCATCTATTCCTAATGGATTGTGGGGATTATTGGGTTACTGAGATGAGGTTAGAGGGGAATACACAATAGCCATCCTGTTTGTTAGAAAGGAAGCAATCTGAAGACAATTTATGTGAAAAACTGGGGAGGACATAACATTGAAAAAAAGAAAGGTTGAGTCTGAAAAGAGAGGATCAATGGTTCCAGAATCCAGATCTGTTTTGGCTGTCATTCCAACTCCAGCGTGACAATGACCTCGTTTCCAAGGCATCACAAACAGATCTAGCTATGATCAAATCAAATCAAATTTTATTTGCCACATGCTACAGGTGTAGACCTTACAGTGAAACGCTTACTTACAAGCCCATAACCAACAATGCAGTTTTAAGAAAAAAAAAGTGTTATGTAAAAAATAGATAAGTAAAAAATAAAAACAATGCAAATAGTCCAGGTAGCCATGATTAGCTGGGGACAATGCAAATAGTCCGGGTAGCCATGAATTGCTGGGGACAATGCAAATAGTCCGGGTAGCCATGAAAAGCTGTTCAGGAGTCTTATGGATGGGGGTAGAAGCTGTTAAGAAGCCTTTTGGACCGGGTAGGCTTGTAGTCATAAACAATTATGATAGCCCCCCTCTATTGCTTTGTAGTCAATTAATATTTGGGAAAGATTAAAGGCCTACAAATCTGTCACTATGACATTTGGGCAATTATTTGCCAATTACCCAAGCTATTCGACGACAAATTCAACTGGAGGCCTCTCACACAAGCTATTTCCCTCACATACACACCTGAATTATAATCTTATGTGGCGCTTTCTCCCAAACCCCAACATATTTCCATTTGCCCTGTAATTGTCATGTAGAACCCTGTAGCCATGCTGAGGCCCAGTACTTTTAATTTGCGCTTGGGGATGTTTGCTTCAACCTGAACTCCCCCTGCAGAAAAACACCATTCTTTCCAATCATACTGCTGCTACCTCCCAGTAGCGGATTTGTTTTTCGCAGTGTTCTCTATATTCATTGTGTGTCCCAACCTCCATTTCACTTTCACCATTCTTAAAATAATTGACCACTCCAGTCAAATCAATGATGTTCTGCTCTCTGTTGAAATACCAAATTAACCTTTGTCTGTGGGGGTCGGAGAGACCGCCACTTCATCAGCAGGTAGACTACTTTGCATAATGAAGAGGGAGCTGTTGTTGATAGAACCGCCCGCGCCTCCTTGTTGACCACTTGATCGGAATGGATCATGTGAAATGTTTTCGAAACCTCAAATAACCACAAATGAGTCTCTAAAATATGCACTTCACGCATGAGGTGTCAAATGAAATTATTTGCATCAGTCAACACTTTGCTTGGGTAAATAACATTATTTCACCAGAATATGTATTTTTTTAAACCCCAAAAGCCTAATCTACAGGGTGCACTTGTTCATTGGATTGATATAGTCAACAAACAAGTGTCAAAACAAGATAATATTGAAACAAACTTACATGACTTGCACTTGTGTGAATAAACACACAATAACAATGTAATTACCGTCTGTTACATTGTATAGGCCTATACGCCAATGCATTGTAACAGTGTATGCGTTGTAACATTGTAACTATATGCACTGCCGCTTCAATAGCATCCAATCCAATGGGGGCGGGTAGTTTCATTCATTTCCTTTTCACCCCACAATGACCCCTCATTCCTCTCCACGTACTGGACGCTAGGGAAGCAACAAGCTTGATTGAATCACAAAGCCTATGCTACAATAACGGGACCGCTATTTATCCGTTTATATTCAGAAGCAAGCCGTACATTTGGTGAGTGAGTATTGTCGGGGTAATTAAGGCTACTTTCCTAAATTGAGATGCATGCTAAAATATATAAGCAATTTCGTAAACTCTGTCTGCTACACGCAGCTCAATGCAGGTGCATCCAGTGTTGGGTGCTTTTTTAAAAGGAAGCCTGCTCAGTTTCCATGGCCTCCAAATGTAGCGAAAACGTTTTGGAAACGATTAATGAAATAATATTTTGTATGTTTTGAAAATATTGTCGAGTGCATAGGCACCGGTTTTCTTATTCGGTTTTGTAGACAGTCAGAACGTGAAAATTGAGTCTGCAAACCAATGTCCAGCCTATTACACTAATTAACGAGCGAAATTGACATAGATAGACAACCGTAATGATCTATGTCAGTTTAGATTTGCATATCGGCGGTGGGGATCCCTTCTCTGATATGAAGCTTATCAAGCACTCCATCTTTTTCGCGGATCCTGCCTGCCTTTTGGTCGTAAATAGATTGCCGCAAGTGCCCGTAAACACATCCATCACATATAGGTTCACACAGGGTGGGTAGCCTAAATGTGTTGTTGCATTGGTTGATAGATACTACCATGTTATCATGGATAGAATATTGCTGGCCGGCTGGCCTGTCTGGTTAAATAGGTATGCTACTTGTGAAACATTCTGTCAAAAGCATATTCTAGAATGTTCTGTTTTTGTTTCGTGTCTATCCCGTCAAAGTTGCACAGTAACTGATTTCTTAGTCCGAGGACAACATTTTCAGCTCAATTGTTTTCAACCAGTGAATGAGCCTACAAGTCACGTTTCACAGCTTGTGCTCTTTGATAATGCATGTTCAGACAGTTCAACCGATTCCCTGTGTACTGGATCTCCCTATAGCCCAAAGCCACTGGTTTGAAGGAACATCACACACAGTACACCCTCTGTGCTGAATAAAGTTTGAGCCAGCAACTTCACAGATAACTCCCTAGAATAGAATAGAATAGAAATGACAAGAGCAGAATAGAGCATGAGTATAGAATACAAACAGAGTAGAATAGAACTGTAATATAATAATCACTGTATCTTCCCAAGAGTAGAATAGAATTAAACAGAATAGAGTACAATATAGAAAACAAACAGTGTAAAATAGAATAGAATAACTTAATGATTTTTTCCCAAGGGAACTTTAGCCTATAAACAGATAACAGCACAATTAAAAATACAAATACCAAGAAAACTAAACATTTTTGATGCAGTTTAGGGTTTAGTTCTATTCCAGCAGACAGTCAATGCCATATTTGCAGATGTGTTACTGCAATGTTTATAGTTGGGCTGTTATGGCATGAGCTAATCTTCTCCTAGGCATTAGCCAATGTGGCTAATCTCTATAATTAGCAGCTTGCCAGATTTTCTTATGGGAGGATGGACACACACACACACACACACACACACACACACACACACACACACACACACACACACACACACACACACACACACACACACACACACACACACACACACACACTGTTATTAGCTTGAGCTAGAACTGAGAGAAATCTCCAAAGGCTTGCAGTGGCATTCTTTCCTGTCTGTTGCTGTCCGTTGCTTGGCAGATCAATGTGGCAGGCTTAAGTGCTCACTACCATCACCTTTTATTTAAAGTGCTGCAAGTGTGTGCTTAATGAATGATTTATGTATTTATAAAGTCCACTGATGTGAATTATTTATTTACCGTTGCTGTTTTTGAATATGTGTGGTTAGCAGCATCTAGAAGTACTGACTCTTATACAGTGTGTGGAGTTGACTAGAAAAATTCAATGCAGTGGTTTAGACATTAACAAACCTTAATCCAGTTAGTTGATGAAAATTACATAACTATACTATAAAGACAGTCTTACAGGAATAGTTGGCTCTTGTTAGTAGTGCAGTCCTATGATTGACAGGTCTGAGAAATGAAGAAGTGGTAGTCACGTCATATTAGATTAAGCTGTCCAGTGATACTACCATGGTGATGTGTCAATCAAAGGCCTTCAGAAGCTAGGCAGCATCTTTCTCCCTCTGTTCTATTGGACTGTGTGTGCGTGTGCGTGTGCGTGTGCATGTGCGTGTGTGTGTGTGTGCTTGTCTCCACAAATACCTTTGTTTTGGCGGCCCGGCTAAGCTTTTGTTATAACACCCAACACCTCTGCACAAAGTGTTCACAGAGTGTGAGGATAATCAATGTCCCATGTCTGGTGGGCTACAGGGCTACAGATGCTAGTTATCATGCAGAAGGGAGGAAGGAACCAACAACAGTTTGACTGACTGCTGGTGGAGCTGTGATTTGGGTTATGGTGCCTGCTCATGTCATGCCTTGTGTGATGTGTGGTCCTCTGTAGCTCAGCTGGTAGAGCACGGCGCTTGTAACACCAAGGTAGTGGGTTCGATCCCTGGGACCACCCATGCACAAAAAAATTTATGCACGCATGACTGTAAGTCGCTTTGGATAAAAGCGTCTGCTAAATGGCATATTATTATTATTATTATTATTATGTGTTATTGTCCTCAGAATGTCCCTATATTTAATGTCTTCATTTGCTTTAGAATTACCGGTTTGCGTTTTCTATGTTTTTAGACTATTTTTCAACCATTGGAAATGCTATGTGAACTGTCAAGTACTTCAGATTCAGAACTGCCAGTTTAAGTTTTGTACCCTGTCTGTCCAGAGCTGTGTAGGGGAGATGTCGGCTGTGTACAAAGACGACCAGGATGACTGGATGACAGTCTGCCTCAAGTACCTCCTCTTCGTCTTCAACGTCCTCTTCTGGGTGAGCAGCACTAGCAAGGTACCCTGGATCTGTTTGTGCTGCATTAGCCAACAACCATGGGAGTTGGCCATAGGAGATGGCCATAGGAGTTGGCTATACAGCACAAACAGATCTGGGATCAGGCTATAGCAAATTAGCAAGCCCTCCTGTTTGTCTTCAACTTTCTCTAATGGGTGAGTAGCAAGCTAGCCTGGTAAGCTAGCCCGGTAAGCTAGCCCGGTAAGCTAGCCCGGTAAGCTAGCCCGGTCTCAGATATTTTTGTGTTGTACTGCCAAAGACCAAGTGAGTTGGCTTTACAGCACAAAACAGATCTGGGAAAAGGCTGTATTACAGTTTTTCTCGATTGCTAAGACACATTTCTTGAAAGCTGCTCTCCTTTTCTCTTAACTGTGAACACAAAACCCAATTTTCAAGCTACATTCACAAAACCTCAGACTCTTCTTGCAAAACCAAACTTTCACCTCAAAACAGTTCAATCTGTGCTCAAAACTGAACTATGTTGTCAAATCGTGCCCCGAGTCAATCAAAATAAAAAACACTACTGAACAGTCACTAAACACTACGTAGAAAAATAGAAAACACAATGCTCAGGACATGAAGCTGGAGAAATAAATGTTTATTGTTCACTGTAGGCTAAATGCATGTTGCAAAACAAAAAAAAACTGTGCATTTAGCACTTGTACAAAAAGACAAAACAGAAATATTGTGCATTTACATGTAGCACTTGTAAAAACAAACAGAAATCTTATGCGTTTGCCACTTGTGTACAGTAAGCCCATGTAAAAATAAAGTACAAAAATATACAAATAAGTGCATTACTCAGCCACAGCATCATGTCTCCGTACTGGGTCAGGCCACAGGACTTCATCCACATCACAGGCCACATTTTGTCTGGCCAGGCAACGGGGGAAAAAACCCCTGGCATGCCGTATCCAGGCTTGGCATGCCTCCACACCTATGTCACCACAGGCAAGTCCCATGGCTTGCAGGAGATTTACCCTGGTGTAAGGTTGGCGTTCATATACCTTCCACCGCCATGAGGAGAAGAATTCCTCAATGGGGTTTAGGAAAGGGGAGTACGGTGGAAGGCAAAGATTGATAAAACTCTGTGAAAACTCACATTGTCCCAAACAACAACATAGATGGGATGCTCATCCTGCTGCCCTAACAAAGCATCTCGCATGTGATTGAGGAAAATGAGGAGCTGGTGAGTGTTGTAGGGCCCCAGGTTGGCATGATGGTGGACAACCCCATGATTGCTGATGGCAGCACATAATGTGACATTGCCACCACGCTGCCCATGAACACCAACAATGGCCCGATGGCCAATCACATTACGGCCTCTCCTTCTCCTTTTGGTGAGATTAAACCCAGCTTCATCCATGTAGATGTATTGATGGGGTCTTTCCATTGCATCCAGTTGAAAAACCCTCTGTAGAAATAGATATAGTTTTGTAAGTGATACGGAAAAAGTGATTTAGGCCACTACAGTAAATCACTACTTAGAGCAATCAACATTGAATGTGTCTGGATATATGCCAACCTGTACATACTGGAATCTTTGCTCTTTGACTCTGTCTGAGTTGCGATCAAAGGGCACTCTGTATAGCTGTTTCATGCGCAGTCTGTTGCGCTTGAGGACACGATCAACAGTAGAGAGGCTGACACTGTTGATACCCTCAAAATGTAAATGGTCCTCAATGACCTTCTGCTGAATTTCGCTCAGTTTAATGGCATTTTTCTTACGGACCATATCAACAATTAGGGTCTCTTGGTGTGGGGAGAACATACCTGTCCTCCCACCCCCATGTGGCAGTCTTTCAATTCTACAAAAAGAGAACATGGAGTTACAAAAAATATACATGGAATACTAGGCCTACAAACAGTTAGACCAACCCTCCATTACAATACTACAGTACATTGGTACAGTGATGTACTGAAACATATATTCACTTACAGTATACTGTGGTACAGTATATAGTATGTCATACAGTAATTGCTGTCAACATTTACATACTGTACTATAATGTCAAAAAAAGGTAATTACCTGTTCTCTTCTCTAAATCTTCGGATTATGGTGGACACAGTGAATCTACTGATGTTTGGTTGTACCCTTTGTCCAGCCTCCCTCATGCTCATACCATGGACAAGAACATGGTCAATCACAGTAGCTCTGATTTCATCAGATATTACTGTTCTTTGTCTTCGCTGACCACCTCGACCACCTCGACCTCCTCTCACACGAACTCTTCCTCTCAGATTTCTATCCATTGTAGGGCCTCACAAACCAGTGCTCTCTGAACTGGCTTACTGTATATGTTCCCTCACATCATTAGCCACAAGTGTGATCAATTTTGAGTTGTTGTGTTCAAGTGGTGATACCTGTGCTCTAATTGTGTTTGACTTTTGTCACATGTGCTCACCATTATGCAGCACGGGTGCATCACAATGAAAATGTGTTGGCAAGTTGTGTCTAAACAGGTGAAAAGTGCTTATGGTTTTGCCAAAAGAGTGATTGATTCAATCAGTGGGTTCAGGCAACTGAGCATTTGGTTCAGACAATAGGGTTTAGTGTTTTAGCAATTGAGAAAAACTGTAAACCTCTAGTACACAGAAACAAGACTTTTCTTCCAGTGACAGGTTCATAGTTTATTTATTAAAGAGGGGACTCAGAGAGAGAGTGAATTGGGTTAACGTCCACAAAGGCATGCATAAGGAAGAATGATATTTGACAGGTTTTACATCAAAGGAAGCTAGTTAGACTTCTTGTGTGGCTTCTTATGTTGCTCTTTCTTAGGCTAAAGAGAGAGGAAGAGAGAGAGAGAGAGAGAGAGAGAGAGAGAGAGAGAGAGAGAGAGAGAGAGAGAGAGAGAGAGAGAGAGAGAGAGAGAGAGAGAGAGAGAGAGAGAGAGAGAGAGAGAGAGAGAGAGAGAGAGAGAGAGAGAGAGAGAGAGAGAGAGAGAGAGTTACCATGAGGAAAGAGAGGGAAAGGGGAGAGAAAGGGAGAGAGAGAGAAACTATTTAACTATTTGCACATCGTTACAATACTGTATATAGACATGATATGACATTTGAAATGTCTTTATTCTTTTGGAACTTGTGTGAGTGTAATATTTACTGTTCACTTTTTATTGTTCATTTCACTTTTGTTTATCCATTTCACTTGCTTTGGCAATGTAAACATATGTTTCCCATGCCAATAAAGTCCCTTGAATTGAATTGAGAGAGAGAAAGAGAGAGAGAAAGAGAGAGAGAGAGTTACAGAGAGAGGATAGAGGGAGAGAAAAAACAGTGGGGGATTACATTTAGGAGCGCTAAGAAATGGACTTGGCCCAGTGTACTCTAATATTTATGGCCTGTCGGTGTTGGACCGAGGTGCTGTGGATCAAACCTGGTCCCTGGCAGCCTGTGTATGTTTAATGTTTAATAATACAGTTAGCTATTAAAGCTATATGCTGCTGGGCCCTTAGGCCTGAAAACAGTGTCTGCAGAGTAAGGGATCAGATTCAAACAAGTTCTGAAGAGCTGGGGAGCTGTGGATGGGTGGGGAGAGAGAGACACATGGAGAGAGACAGAGAGGGAGGTAGGGCTCTATCGCTCTCTCTCTCTTCAACTTTCCACTGTCATGCTCCCTCAACTAGACTGGCGCCTCCCAGTGCCCATGCTGTAAAATGAGAAAAAATGCTGTAACTTGGCTGCAAGACAGAGTGGACAAATATAGCATGTGTGACAGACAGGGTTCGAACATGAGTCTCCTGTGTAGCACATGACTGTGTTAGCCCACTGAGCTAGAGCCTAGGCACCAGGCCACCACATGTATTTATTTGTTATTGTGGAAAGTTAACAAAAGTGAAAAAGATTTAAAACAAAGACGTGATCCCCAAAGGACCAGGTCATTGTTATTCACTGAGAGTTTCCTTTCTTCCGCCTCTGATTTGACACTTCAAGTAGTCTCTTTTATATCTCTCGTTTTACATTTCACACTAACCCAAAGGCTTCCCTTCAAACCCCACAGTGCATAATAGTAATACCTCCCACTTTACCCAATGGCCACAGCCCCAGCCTGCCCGTTTCTCTAGATTGTAACTCTGCACCCAAAGATACTCCATACTAATACTCCAGAGTTGCCCATTCCTTTAATCTATCACGTTTTCCCCTGGCATGGTGTTTTAGCACTACAAATGTAGGACCTGAATTTGGGGCAGTTTGCTACAGCAGGAAAATAATCCTGCAGCAATAGGAAATGTGAATTATTATGAGAATTATAATTAATGGACATTTTTCATAAGGGAAAATCAAGTCTGACATTTCAAAGTGGAAATTATAAATGTCAGAAGCCTTTTTAGACCTCAAATATGCTACAAGTTTTACATTTCCTGCATTGCAGGAAAGTTGTGCAACAGGGTGATCAAATTAAGATCCTACATCTGTAGCAGCAGTGTTTGTTGTTTGGGAGTAGGGGCTTGGCGTATAGAGGAGGAGGAAAGGGATCGGAGGCTGAATAGGAGAGACTCTCCCAGGGATTTCCTGCATGTCCGGGTGTGACATAGATGACAGAGATGGGGAAAACAGATTAAGGGCATTGCCACGTCACCCCACTGATGTGGCCACCACTGTTTATGGAAACAAATCACTCCACTCCGACTCTGTTTGGCTCGCTCTCCTTTTTTGTCACTCCGCTCTCTTCCTTCCTTTCTCTCGCTCTCTCTTTCTCTTCCTTTCTCTCTCTCACTGTTTTTGTGTATATCCCCTTCCTCTCTGACTCACTTTATTGACACAGCGTTCTCTCTCTCTGTCGTGCTCCTCTTTGTCTTTCTATCACTCTTTCCCCTTCTCTTTGTTTTTCTATCTATCTTTCCCCCTCTCTTTGTCTTTCTATCTCTCTTTCCCCCTCTCTTTGTCTTTCTATCTCTCTTTCCCCCTCTCTTTGTCTTTCTATCTCTCGTTCCCCCTCTCTTTGTCTTTCTATCTCTCTTTTCCCCTCTCTTTGTCTTTATTTATCTCTCCTTTCCCTCTCTGACTCACTCTCCCCCCTCACACCCCTCCTGTCACCTCTCCCACTCTCTCTCCGTCTCAATTCAGTTCAATTAAATTAAATTAAATTCAATTCAATTCAATGCAATTCAATTGGCTTTATTGGCATGAAACATTTAGTGCCAAAGCAAACATATGGGAACACATGACATCAACCTGTCTCTCTCCTCAGGTTGGTGGAGCGGCGGTGATGGGCGTGGGCATTTGGACCTTGATAGACAAGAGTGACTACCTGAGCCTGCTGGCCTCCAGCACCTTCGCCGTGTCCGCCTACATCCTCATCCTGGCCGGGGCCCTGGTCATGGTCACGGGCTTCCTGGGCTGCTGCGCCGTCATCAGGGAGCAGAGGAGCTGCCTGTCCACGGTGAGGAAGCCCTCCCTGGGCAGGGTGACTACTCTAGGCCCCAGGCTTTCTGGAAGGCCCCTGGGTCTTCTGAATGTTTATGTTGATTAAAGGGATAGTTTGCACACATTACAACATTAGTTAGACGCATTATATTGAATGTAGTGTACGGCTCATAGATAACTTTCAGGGTAAGACACTAACTAACACTGTAGTTTGGGTGAGATATCTCTTTAATGGCAGTGTTGGTGTTTGCATTAGAAATGGGCTGGTTATATACTGTAGCTACAGGTGACTGGTAAAACGAGAGCACACCATGAAACAAGAATGAGAATGGAACTATCTGCACTCTGTACTCTCTAAGAGAATGTTCATTTATAACATCAGTTTATTCCAATTCAAATTCACCTTGGTTGCACTCAGCACTTTTGGGTACATTGTATGTTTTCCCTTAACCCAGATACCTGTTTCCTTTGAAACGTCCCTGGCCCTGCCGCTCCTTCCCTGCACCCCTGCTCTCACGTCCCCACTTGTGACTTTCTCTTTTGTGCGTGTGTGTGCGTCTGTGTGTGCGTGCGTCTGTCTGTGTATGTGTGTATGCTGGGAGCTGACAAATGAGCTGACAAGCCCCATACTGTCCTCATTCTTTTAAAGAGACAAGCCAGGCCGGAGGTGAGCCACTAACTCTATTTATAGTCAGGCATTAGTAGTGATACATGAACCTGATGGAGGGGGGAGAGGGGTGGTTTGGGTGGGTGGAGGGTGTGTTTTTGTTGTGGGGTTAGGGTGAGCGTGTGTGTGTGTGTTTAAAGGGGAGGGTTGTGTGCGGGGGATGAGTGAAGAGTTGGTTTTCGTCAGATCACTATGGGGTGGGGGGGGTTGTAGGTGGGAAAGAGAGATGTGTGTGTGTGTGTGTGTGTTTGTGTGTCTGTCGTGGTAGAATAAAATATAATACAATGTTAATGCCAATCAACAATGGCTGTTAAGAATAATCTTTAGTGTGGTGTGTAATAATACACCTCCCACCATCCTCCATCTGCCATAACCCAATATTCTGGCATTACCACACAAACACACTGTGATGATGTGGTGTGTGTGTGCTTGTGCATGTGCCTATGCGGGTGCACGTGTGTGTATAGCCTGTTAGTGGGCAAGGTAAAGATGGAATGGCTGCTTTAACTCTGTTATAGACTATGCTGTCCTAAATTATGGCTCCCCTGCAGCTGTGTGTGTGTGTGTGTGTGTGTGTGTGTGTGTTTGTGTGTGTGTGATAAACAATGGTTTTGGCATAGCTTTGTTTTTCCTCACCTCCACACATCAGATCAGCGGCAGGCTGGGAATGAGCATCTGTCTCCCGGTAATGGCCTTGAGCGCCACGCTGCACACCAAACACTTTGTGTCCCGCCTCTCCGACAGGTGTGCCTAATTTGCCCCTGTGTGTGTGTGGGAGTGTGTGTTTGTTGCTTCATTTAGAGTTCAATGTGTCAAATCGGAGGGCCTGTTGTCTGGACCTCTGGCAGTCTCTATGAGGGTGCCACAGGGTTCAATTCTCGGGCCGACTCTATTCTCTGTGTATATCAATGATGTCGCTCTTGCTGCTGGTGACTCTCAGATCCACCTCTACGCAGACGACACCATTTTGTATACATCTGGCCCTTCATTGGACACTGTGTTAACAAACCTCCAAACGAGCTTCAATGCCATACAGCACTCCTTCCGTGGCCTCCAACTGCTCTTAAACGCCAGTAAAACTAAATGCATGCTCTTCAATCGAATGCTGCTTGCACCCGCCTGCCCGACTAGAATCACTACTCTCGGCGGGTCTGACTTAGAATATGTGGACAACTACAAATACCTAGGTGTCTGGTTAGACCGTAAACTCTCCTTCCAGACTCACATTAAGCAGCTCCAATCCAAAGTTAACTCTAGAATCGGCTTCCTATTTCACAACAAAGCTTCCTTCACTCATGCTGCTAAACATGACCTCGTAAAACGGACTATCCTACCGATCCTTGACTTTGGCGATGTCATTTACAAAATAGCCTCCAACACTCTACTCAGCAAATTGGATGGAGTCTATCACTACTATACTACCCACCATTGTGACCTGTACGCTCTCGTTGCCAAACCCACTGGCTCCAGGTCATCTATAAATCACTTCTAGGCAAATCCCTGCCTTATCTTAGCTCATTGGTCACCATAGCAACACCCACCCGTAGTATGCGTTCCAGCAGGTATATCTCACTGGTCATCCCCAAAGCCAACACCTCCTTTGGTCGCCATTCCTTCCAGTTCTCTGCTGCAAATGACTGGAACGAACTGCAAAAATCTCTGAAGCTGGAGACACTTATCTCCCTCACTATCTTTAAGCATCAGTTGTCAGAGCACCTTACCGATCACTGCACCTGTACACAGGTGTAATTAGCCCATCCAACTACCTCATCCCCATATTGTTATTTACATTGTTATTTATTTTGCTCATTTGCACCCCAGTATCTCTATTTGCACATCATCTTCTGCACATCTATCACTCCAGTGTTAATACTAAATTATAATTGTAATTATTTTTCACTATGGCCTATTTATTGCCTTACCTCCATAACTTACTACATTTGCACACACTGTATATAGATTTTCTATTGTGTTATTGACTGTATGTTTTGTTTATTCCATATGTAACTCTGTGTTGTTGTTGTTTTTACCACACTGCTCTGCTTTATCTTGGCCAGGTCGCAGTTGTAAATGAGAACTTGTTCTCAACTGGCTTACCTGGTTAAATAAAGGTTAAATAAATAAAAAAAAATTTTTAGTTTTTGTTTGATTAATTGTGTGTGTGAGTGTGTTTTGTGTGTGTGTGTGTGTGTGTGTGTGTGTTTGTTTGTGTGTGTGTGTGTGTGTGCGTGTGTGTGTATAGCTCTCCAAAAAGCTCAACCACCAGTCTTGTTAGTCCATTCTTGCTGTGTGTGTGTGTGCTGTGTGTGTGTGTGTGTGTGTGTGTGTGTGTGTGTGTAGGCGAAACATACTCACCATTTACATACTCTGCTGTTAAATCCAAACAGTGTTATATCACAATGATACAGGAGATAATGGTTGGTTGGAACCGCCTACCCCCCAGCCACCCCCATTTCTCATTGATATAAATACAGATATCTTCCCAGACTAATGAGCTAATAAGGTGCTATTTAGTCCACTGAGACTTGTGTGTTATTTTAAGCCTCTCTCCTTCTCCAGTAGCATACTAATGATGGTTTTGTTTTACCAAAGTGTTTTTCTATTAATGTTGTATTCTGTGGTAACGATTTCTATGAAACACCCACAGTAGATTCGTTTATAGCACCTTAGTTATATCACCCCGTAGCATAGATTTTATAAGCATTGCTATAAGCATCCATAACAGCTCATAGCTCCTTTTAGAAATTTGTTGGGTGGATTTTGGATGCATTATAACACTTGATTAATTCATAATGGCTGATGATCCATAGGAGTGAATATACATTTATGTATGCCTCCAGTGCATCAATTAGAACTCATTATTGAAAGGCAGTTTACATCCCATTTATTATGATTCATTTTCCAGAAGAGACTCAAAGAAAGTCTTACCTGTATTTTGTCTCCAATGAAGCCTGGATTTCACGTCCATATCAACATAATCATACAGTAGCTAATCTCTGGATCAAAGCTTTATGATCCTGTCAATATTGCTGTTGGAGGTGTTGCAGGGTTTGTTACTGAGTACTGGTTTGGAGATGTTGCAGTTTTCTTTTACTGAGTACTGGTTTGGAGGTGTTGCAGGGTTTTTTACTGAATACTGGTTTGGAGGTGTTGCAGGTTTTTTTTACTGAGTACTGGTTTGGAGGTGTTGCAGGGTTTGTGGTGTTCTGTTCATTGTTGTTCCCTCAGGATCTAGAGAGGTGTTTTATGTCTCTCTTAGTTCTCAGTACATTTAGCTGTCAACAGCATGTCTGGGGCAGAAATCAAAACCTCTCTCTCTCTTTCTCAAATATGAAAGGTATCCCCCTCCCTCTACATTCTGTTCTCCTCCCTATCCCCCTCTCTTTTTCTGCTAGGACAAATATGACAGTCATCTCACACCCCTCATTCATTTCCCCTCATTCATTTGCCCTCATTCATTTCACCTCATTCATTTCCCCTCATTCATTTGCCCTTATTCTGCACACTGTCACATTGCTCTCTATTCCTCTGTTCTTTTTTCTTTCTCTCTGTCAGCTTTGGGAATGCGGGTGCGTGACAATACGAAGACACTTGATGGAACGCTTTATATCTGCATTGTCACAATAACTGAGTGTCTTTTGGTAGGAGTCTAAGAGTGAGTGTTCGGAAAGATCTTAAGTGTGACTGTTCTAAACAGAGACATGCAATTAATGCAGGCATTTTGTCTTATAAACAAGAGGAAGTTTTTGCCTGTAATTGGTTTGAACTGAAAATGTGTTAAGACGGATTTATTAATATTCTATCTACTCTCTCTCTCTCTCTCTCTCTCTCTCTTCCCTATTATATCTATCTCTCTCTCCTCTCGATTTGCTCCTTTTTTTCTTTATCTATCTTCTCTCTCCCCTCTCTCTCTCCCCCCCTTCTCTCTCTCTCTCTCTCTCTCTCGCTCTCCCCTTCTCTCTCCCCCCCTTCTCTCTCTCCAGTATTTCTGCTGTCTGTTGCTGATCTTTCTCATAGAGCTGGTGGCAGGAGTCCTGGCCTATGTGTATTACCAGAGGGTGAGTGACTACTTCTCCACCTTCATCTTTCATCCTCTTGTGTATCCTTCCTCCCTCTTCCTCCCTCCCCTCCCTCCCCCTCGTATTTATTTTATTTTAAAATACTTTGATCTATTCTTTGAGCCTGGAGTGCAGTTCCTTGGTTCCATTGCGCTAGTCAAGCTCAGTCAAGCACAGCTAATGTGTTTAAAATAAAATAAGTACTTATTGAACCCAGGTCTGTTTTCTATACATAACCCTTCCTCCCTTTCCTCTCCATTGCATTTGAGTAGTCGCTTGTGTGTGTGTGTGTGCACGCGTTCCATATGCTTGCCTGTTGTGTGTGTGATACCTGTGTAAAGGCCCTGATCTCCAGACAGACCTCAACCCTGAGCCCTGAGATCATCCTAATCTCACACACATCTGTCTCATTCAGTATAATCAGAAATGAATGGTAGACTCAATATCCTGGTGAGGGGAGATCTTATTCACTTTCAAGTGAATGGAGTTGAGTTGAGGTTCAGATAAATGTAAAGATAAGCTCTGACACAAGCAAGACAACCCCACTTCACTCTCCTCTATCACTCTAACTGAGGTGTTCTCTCTCCTCTCTCTCTCTCTCTCTCTCTCTCTCTCTCTCTCTCTCTCTCTCTCTCTCTCTCTCTACTCTCTCTCTCATTCTCTTCTCTCGCTCGCTCTCTCTCTTTCTCCCTTCTCTCTTCCTCCCCTAGCTCAGTGAGGAGCTGAAGCAGCACCTGAATCAGACCATGACAGAGAACTACGCCCAGCCAGGGAAAGAGGCCATCACCCTGGCCGTGGACAGACTACAGCAGGATGTAAGGACGCCATCTCCCATGAGCCTTAGTTTTTCTTGAAGGGACAGGAGCACCAGTGGTAAAGCTGGTTTACATGAGTTATGGTAGCTAGTTGCTACACTCAACCGATAAAGCCGCCGTAGTACATGCATGCACACACGCACACACACTATCATCCCTGTTCACCTCGAAGCATGTGAGGTTCAATGTTAATCATATGCAAGGTCACGTCCACTATAGGGCTACAGTATGATGCAAGATGACTTGGTTTACAGAAAAATGTCTGTAATGTGATGTGTTTTTTCTGCCTAGTCAATATTTTGTTGATTGATTTTAAATAAATGTGATGGTTTTCAGACAACCACTAAGTGTAGCTTATGGTAAACACAATTCCACTCTTCTTCTTCCATTGGCCAGTTCAAGTGCTGTGGCAGCAACAACTCGTTTGATTGGCTGCACAGTGTGTATGTGACCTCGGCTGAGTCGGAGCGCAGGGTAGTCCCGGACAGCTGCTGTAAGACCATCACCACCCTCTGTGGCTGCAGAGACCACCCGTCCAACATCTACAAGACTGAGGTGGGTGTGACCATTGGAAAATCGTCATTCTATTCAACAGTAAATATGTGCTGAATGGGTTACAATGGACTTTAGGGTGTCGCAACTGGACATTTTCACAGTAAAAATGTGTTATGTTGTCATTCTATTCCATAGCAATGAGAGCAGAGCCCAGCACTGTCAGTGGACTGGAACAGTTAATAATTATTTCAGATTTAAACATTTGTTCATATCTAATGGATCAATACAATTCAAGTTGGATCCTAAAATATTCCTTAAAAGAATCTTTCAAAAATATAAATGGATCTCGACATAGAACACTTGATCAATATTTCAGGACCGAAAGGTTGTATTGGGCTATGCATCATATGATTCCTAATGTCTGAAATGGGGTCAGGAAGTTGATATGTCCCTCAGAGCTCCACTACCTCCATACGTATTCTGTCTATGAAACTAAAACAGTCCAACACTCTGGTTTGGAAAGTCACTTTTGCCAACCACTTTTCTCTATTTGACAGGCTTTCTTATCAGTAACGGCTGATAGCATAAGCGCTCGGAGAAATTAATAAAATATTTGAGATGCTTCTTTCGCTTTTATCTGTGACAAACAGGAGAAGTCTGTGCTCATTTCTCTCTTTCACACACACGCACACACACGCACACACACACACGTCACGCTCCTTGGTTCCCGCTCTTATCACTCCACTTGTCAGTGTCACTCCAGTTTAGAGGAGGGAAACTTGAGAAAATCTCTTTATAATGAAACAAAGTTTATATGGGTGGAACTGAAATATTTACTGTGCATTTAGGAAGTCAGCTACGGTTGACAGCTCCCCACACACTCAGAAAACACTTGGGTTCAAAATGTGCTCGTCAATGTGTTTTCACTTGTCTGGGAAGCTGAGATGTTTTTGAAATGTCCTCAGAACTGTGACTCACAACATGGCTTGAAACAACCCACTCAGTCAAAGCTCTTTGGTAAAACAGTATGACACCGGATGTACGGAGGTGACTGTACATGGATGTTTACATGCACTCCATCCATCCATGACTCCTCAATGCCCCCTCTACCCACATCTGAGTGACTGTGTGTGTGTGTGTGGTCAGAGAAGGAGCCTCCTAATGCATCCCACTGTTCTCTCCACTCCTCTCAGGCTGCCCAAGGCCTTTATCTTACTGTAGTTTGTTCTCTGCAGTGTAACTCTATACCACACACACACACACACACACACACACACACACACACACACACACACATTCACCAAAGATGCTCTTTGTTCTGCTGCAGCAATGTGGAGACGGGCCATAGACAGAGCCAGAGAGGGTAGGGTTGATAAGTATACTCTAGTAAATGAAGAGCATAGTCCAATTCCAATTCTCCTTGTTCACACCCCCTCAAGGACTTGGATTGATGTAAATATGATAGACACTGACTACACCAATCAGGTGTGTCTGTGTATGTATGTGTGTGTTTGTGCGTGTGTGCGTGCGTGAGTATGCATCATACATGTGTGGGCTCGTGTGTGTGTGTGAAGTGATTTGACCCCTGACCTGTAACCTCTGCCCCACAGGGTGGCTGCATCACCAAGCTGGAGCAGTTCCTGGCTGACCACCTGCTGATCATTGGAGCTGTGGGGATAGGAGTGGCCTGTCTACAGGTAGGTCCCCCAACACTGACCAGTGGCTTTATTAACAGGAAATGATGAGCCGTTATTATAGTTCTGTGGTAGCACCTCACTACAGACACAAGCTATCACTATCAGACTACCACAAACTATCATGTTGTTTTGGGGGATTTGTGGTATCACAGATTTCATGGATATCAATATAATGTTGTGATAATAGTGGATGTAATCTGCTACTGTGGATATTGGTAGCCTTACTGTTGAAATGTTTTCAATGCTAGCTAGTATCTTGATGGATAGGTGGGGACAAGCTCAATAGAGATTGTGAACAGAAAGGGAGAGAGATGGCAAGGTAACCTTTGCTTGTTTGTCTTAGTAGAGTAACGGGTTAAGAGGTGAGACTATTGCTTAAAAAATACACTTTTTTATATCAGTCTCAAAATATATCCACATAATAAAAGGCTTTCCACAAAAATATACAGTACCAGTCAAAAGTTTGGACACACCTACTCATTCAAGGGTTTTTCTTTATATTTTACTATTTTCTACATTGTAGAATAAAAGTGAAGACATCAAAACTGTGAAAGAACACATATGGAATCATGTAGTAACCAAAAAATTGTTAAACAAATCCAAATATATTTTATATTAGAGATTCTTCAAATAGCCACCCTTTGCCTTGATGACAGCTTTGCACACTCTTGGCATTCTCTCAACCAGCTTCACCTGGAATGCTTTTCCAACAGTCTTGAAGGATTTCCCACATATGCTGAGCACTTGTTGGCTGCTTTTCCTTCACTCTGCCGTCCGACTCATCCCAAACCATCTCAATTGGGTTGAGGTCGGGGGATTGTGGAGGCCAGGTCATCTGATGCAGCACTCCATCACTCTCCTTCTTGGTAAAATAGCCCTTACACAGCCTGGGGGTGTGTTGGATCATTGTCCTGTTGAAAAACAAATGATAGTCCCACTAAGCCCAAACCAGATGGGATGGCGTATCGCTGCAGAATGCTGTGGTAGCCATGCTGGTTAAGTGTGCCTTGAATTCTAAATAAATCACAAACAGTGTCACCAGCAAAGCACCCCCACACCATAACACCTCCTCCTCCATGATTTACGGTGGGAACTACACATGGTGAGATCATCCGTTCACAAAGACACAGCGGTTGGAACCAAAAATCTCCAATTTGGACTCCAGACCAAAGGACACATTTCCACCGGTCTAATGTCCATTGCTTGTGTTTCTTGGCCCAAGCAGGTCTCTTCTTATTATTTGTGTCCTTTAGTAGTGGTTTCTTTGCAGCAATTCGACCATGAAGGCCTGATTCACGCAGTCCTCTCTGAACAGTTGATGTGTCTGTGACTTGAACTCTGTGAAGCATTTATTTGGGCTGCAATTTCTGAGGCTGGTAACTCTAATGAACTTATCCTCTGCAGCAGAGGTAATTCTGGGTTCTGCACTTGAAGAAACTTTCAAAGTTCTTGAAATGTTCCATAATGACTGACCTTCATGTCTTAAAGTAATGATGGACTGTCGTTTCACTTTGCTTATTTTTGCTGTTCTTGCAATAATATGGACTTGGTCTTTTACCAAATAGGGCTATCTTCTGTATACCCCCCTTACCTTGTCACAACACAACTGATTGGCTCAAATGCATTAAGAAGGAAAGAAATTCCACAAATTAACTTTTAAGAAGGCACCTGTTAATTGAAATGCATTCCAGGTGACTACCTCATGAAACTGGTTGAGAGAATGCCAAGAGTTTGCAAAGCTGTCATCAAGGCAAAGGGTGGCTATTTGAAGAATCTCAAATATAAAATATATTTGGATTTGTTTAACACTTTTTTGGTTACTACATGATTCCATATGTGTTGTTTCGTAGTTTTGATGTCTTCACTATTATTCTACAATGTAGAAAATAGTACAAATAAAGAAAAACCCTTGAATGAGTAGGTGTGTCCAAACTTTTGACTGGTAGTGTATATATTTAAATAAACATAAATGTGGCTATAATCTTCCTATTACCCCAAACATGCACCCAGTAACTCCTATTACCGGTCAGACAACCTTTCAATGCACTCTATTACCCCTGCTCTATCCTCTCAGCTGTAATCTGATCCCATTCACATTCTGTGATTTGATTTGCTGAGGCCTCAGATGGACCAAGCTCGTAGCCCTTTCCACCGTATACAGGTTAAAAATGGCAGATTTTGTCATTGATAAGTGCCTGAATTGGAACTAAGTAGCTGTACAGTAACATGCTATACATGACGTCAGGGCTCAGGTTCTCCTGTTCACAGCGCTGTATGGGTTTTGACTGACAGCCGTTATGAACTTGAGCACTGCTCGCGACAAGAAGATGCCCCCATCCCTCCCGCTAATTGGGCTACGTTTGCACATTTGTTATTGTCTGAGTGAGGGAAATGCTGTAAATCGAGAGGAGTCTATGTGTTCTGAAAGATGAGACGTTGAGGATTATAATGAATACTGCTTTGATGTCGTACAAGCAAACCGCACACCTGTGAGTCCAAATGTGCACTTCACATTTCCATACTTGAAACTCATGTCGTTTACAGTATAAAGGTTTATGATCGATATAACCCTAACCCTTCTCAGCAGTATCGGAATAGAAAGGTCCCTCCCGTCAGCCTAATGTGTTTTGAAAAGGAGGTGATGAGATAGGATATAAAGAATCAAGGAAAGATAAATTGAGATGGGGCCATGGACAGGAAACGGTATACCTTTCTCTCCCAGCATGCTTTGTAATAACTGTTGGATGGGGCGGCTGCTCTCCACAATCGATCTGCTCTCTTCAAATAAATTACACAGGGACTGGACTGGAATCTCCATCCCCCAAACATGGATCGATCTCCTGAAAATGGTTTACGGTTCAGCCAATGCAGTTCATAGATTGGTGTTTTCGTCAAGCTTGGGATGTGATGTTCGGGTTGAGAGGTTTGTTTTTAAAGTACGGTGATGTTTAGTAGCCAAATCTCAGATTAGTTTGTGCTGTCTAGCCAACTCTAGTCATGCTACATGAGTCAGTTATATACAGCACACAATACAGCACAAACACATCTGGGACCAGGCTAGATGTTTTGCGGTCAGGAGCAAGAAATCTCCGATCTAGCTGTGGTACCACTTCACGCCATTAATGACTAAATCATTCCAGACTGTGCCATTTATTTTTTTATTTACAATATTATAGTCGTATTCTCAATAAATGATCTTTGTATGGTGACAAAACAAGGCTTAGATAATTCATTTCGATTTAATTTAACATATTGATACAGCCTAACTGATAAAACTGCACAGTTTTGATTTGTGAAGTTCAAATAGAGTACAGTCTTGCACTTCACGCTATATAGTCAATGTCAAATATCACAATATTAGATTACACATATATCCCCCCAACCCTAGCTTAGCCCAAACCTGAACATACAGTACTGGTTCCATCTTGGCTACTCTTTCCAACCAACTAGGGTTCCCACTCTTCTCTGTGTTCCCATAGCTTTTCTCCTAGAATTCCACATAGGAGTCATGTGATCATGTCACCGTAGAGACTGTCAACATGAGAATTCGGGGTGCCTAAGAATAACACTGTCACGGACAGAAGAGGACCCAAGAGCGCAAGTTCAAATTCAGAGTTCTTTATTGAAGGTTTCAGGCGGGAAGAGGAGTGCCAGGGGTGTCAGGGGTTCCAGGGGTGCTTGGGGCTCTGGGGTATTTCAGGGTCCTGTGGGTACCTGTGCTCCGGGGGTCACCAAATGTCCGGGGGTGTCCAGTCCAAGTGCTTAGTGTGTGTGTTCCCCAGTGATGGAGCGGCGTATCGGGCTGAGGGTGGGGAAGCGTCTGGGCACGCTCATCTGGTGGTCGGAGACCTGGGGGAACACACACACAACAGCAATATGAATGGCAGGCAGAAGTACAGATCAGGGCTGGGCAAATATCGTGGTGAGAGACAGAAAGCAGAATCGAGTACCGGAGGGGCTGAAGATCGAAGAGTAGTCGAGGTCCAGAAGGCAGGTCGGGATAGACGGGGCAGTAGAACAAGGAGGCAGTCAAGAAAGGATCGGTATCACAAACAGGAGTCAGAGCGCAGACAGGCAGGATACTGGTCCGGGTTTGAAGACGATCTGACAGCGCTTGGCTGAAAAACAGGGCTTGATATACTGGGAGAGGTTAGTGGGGGAAATGCAGTTCAGCTGGCAGAGTAATTAGAACAGAGTGAGGCAAGGTGAGGATGGTGAGTGGGAAATGCAGTGCAGCTGGCCAGGTAACAAGAGCAGAGCAGGGCGGAGCCAGGTGGAGCTCGTTAGGCAGAGTAGGGAGAGAATTGAATGCAATTAATGTTGCTACCAGGGAGAGAGAGTGCTCATGACAGGACCCCCCCTCCAAGGGACGGCCCCAGAAGTCCCAAGAACAACATCATGCCGGGAGGGTGGAGGGGAGCAGGCGGCGGGTCAGAACTCCTCCGAGCGGTCCGAGTGAATCTCCTCATCCTCAGAAGGAGCTGGAGGGTCACGGTCGGGAGACAGGACAGGCACTGAGACAGGAGCAGGGTCAGGCACAGGACAGGAAGCAGGGCGGGCAGGACGGCTAAGGACCCCTCTTGGACGGCCCCTACGGATTGCAGGCTGATCAGGATGTAGTCGGTGGAAGTCAGTGATAAGGGTCCGGTCCACTATCCTCCTGGCCGGGATCCAGGTCCTCTCCTCTGGACCATATCCCTCCCAGTCAACGAGGTACTGGAGACCCCTACCCCTTCGCCTAGAGCGGAGCAGCCGCCGGACGGTGAAGACAGGACCGCCATCTACGAGGCGCGGAGGAGGTGGCGCCGGAGCTGCCGGGACCAGGGGACTTTCATGGACCGGCTTGACCTTGGAGACGTGGAAGGTGGGGTGGACCCGCATGGAAGCGGGCAACTGAAGTCGGACCGCCGTTGGACTGATGACTTTCTGCACAGGAAAAGGACCAATGAAGCGAGGGGCCAGCTTTCGTGATTCAACCCGCAGCGGCAGATCCCGGGCAGACAGCCAGACCTTCTGACCAACCCGGTAAGTAGGTGCTGGGGTCC